TGAGTGCCCTGGCTTATCCAGTGAGTTCTGAGCACACACATGATGGGAAGGCTCAGAGCACACAGACTCTCACTCACAACACGGTAGGGACATCAAATGGCCCAACTGCCCTGGCAGACAGACGGCGGCTCAGTTGGTTGGAGCATCATCCTGTTCACTGAAAAGTTGTAGGTTCGAATCCTAGGACGTCCACTGGAGCATCTCACCAGCCTGCCCATTTCTGAGACACGAGGGTCAGCCCTGATGCTGAATGCCCCTTGCTCATCTGTCCCAGGAAAGTCACCCTAACCCACATGTATTTTGCAAAAATAGTGAAAACAGCATTCCATTTACTTTTTGCCCAGTTTCCTCTGATGTGAACATTTTAGGTAATTTTACAACAATCAAAGCAAGAAAATAAGTGCTGGTATGATTCTATCTCAATCTGTTTGGGCTGCTATCTATACTAATAAAAGGGTAATATGCTAATCAGGCTGGGTGATCGGACATCTTCTGGCCATCCGACTTCCTTCTAGGCAGTTGGGGGGCGACCAGGTCAGCAGGGGAGCAGTTGGGAGGCAGCCAGGATGGCAGGGGGGTAATCAAGGGGGGACCAGGCCGGCAGGGGGGCAGTTAGGGTAGATCAGATCAGGCAGGCAGGCAGGTGAGCAGTTAGGAGACAGTGGGACTGGATTGCTGGTTTAGGCCCAACCCCTGTAGGAGAGGGTGCAGGCTGGGCTGAGGGACCCCCACCCATGCACGAACTTTGTGCACTGGGCCTCTAGTAAAAAAATAAACAAGCTGTTATGTGTTTATGTGTCAGTGCTGGAGGCCAGCAGATGTGGTGTCCGGTGGGACCGCGTGAGGCCGCCGAAGGCTCTCCCCTCGCTGTGTCCTCAGTGGTGGGAAGGACTAGGGAACCCCGGGGTCTCAGTAGAAACGAGGGCATTGATCGATTAATGAGGTCCCACCTCCTAACACCATCACACCGGGATTAGGCTTAAACACATGACCGTGGGGAGATGAGCATTCAGACTATAGCAAACACTGCCATAAACGCAGACTTTATCCCGACTCCACGCTCCCCATTATGTCCTCCTGGTCCTGCCAATCCCGCAGCACGTGCAGTCGGTGGTGTCTCCGTGGCCCCCGGGGGGCTGGGCAGTCCCTCCGGACCTGATCCTCTGGGCTTGGCTCTTCCGGGGAGCGGGGCTCAGTTCCGTCGCAGAACGTCCCGTTGGGGTTCGCGGATGCTTTCCCGGGAGCGGACCGGGGTGCTTTTTTGGCAACAAAACCACAGCAGCGCCTGAGTCCTGGGGTCGCCGGGGTAAGGTCAGTGGTCCGCCGCCCCATAGTGACGTCACCGCGCTCTCTATGATGACGTCACCGCGCCCCCTGTGACTCACTCCTGTCCGGGGATGGGGGTGGGGACCTGCCTTGACAGCCGCCTGTGGTCTCAAACCTGCCGCGAGCCCAGCCTCCCGCCTGCGGACCGGGGGCGACGGGGACCGCGCTCCTCCGCCGTGGCCTGGCCTCCGCCCGCCTGCGGCACCTGTGGCCGGACATTCCCGAAGGAAGCGCTTCCCCGCCCCCGGGGGTTCGAGGACGAGACTGTAAGCTACGGTCCGAGGCGCTGGCAGTCGTCACGCTTCCCGCCCGAGCCCGCAGTTTGCGCGGGAGGAGGGCGGGGGGAGGGCCCAGGGCGGAAGCTGCCCCAGAGGCTCCCATGGCGACGCCCGCCCGGGACGCACCTGTCGCCGGACCGCGCGCCCCATCTGCGCATGCCGGCCGCACACGCGCCCGATTGGCCGAGCCCGGGTCACGTGGCCGCTGCCGTGCCCTGCCGCTAGGGCAGCTGGGAACGACGGCCGGCCCTGCCCTGCGCGTGCGCGAGTCGCGGCCGCGGCGGGACGCACGGGGAGTCGGGGCTCGTTTTGCGCTCGCGGCGGCTGAGGCCTTGGGCGGCCCCGCCGGGCTCCCGGGGCGGATGCAGGTGGTGCCTGCTGGCGCGGCGGCCCCGAGCGAGCGATTCCTGATCTTGGCTGGCAGTGTTTGCCGCAGGTTTCGGGGTGACGGACCCTGGGCGTGACGTCAGGACCGGGCGCCCCCGCGGCGTCCACGCCGGGCAGCTGCCGGTCGTGGCCAGCGCGGCTGTGTCCTGGCACCAAACCCAGAGACGCGTCCGCAGGGACGGGGCCCAGATAGCTGGTCCCGACGCTGTAAACGGCGCCTGGGCCTGAGCGAGCCCCAGCGGCCGCTCGGAACCAGAACCGGAACCGCTCAGTCCGCCGGTCACGCCGTGGTCGCCCGCGCTCGGACTTCGCCAAAATGGCAACAGCGTAGAGAGCGGGAACAGGAGGAAACGGACACGATGGGGGCATACGTGGAGAGGGGTTTGGGATGGGAATGGGGGATGAGGACACTTTGTGATAGCATAATCAATAAAGAAATTAAAAAAACAAATACTAACTAGGAGGAAGGCTTCGCTCAGGCCAGGGAGGGACTTGGGAACCGATCCTTCCGTCTACGGTTACCGCCGCGGGCCAACACCTCGCCGAACCTGCTCAGGTGACACCTTCCAGCACATTCGGACAGCCCTGCGGACACCAAACGAAGTGCTTTTGCTGGTGGACAGGTTCCAGGCCTCGGTGCCCTGCCAGCCCTAGCACCGTCATTTGCTTATCGGGAGGGGGCCGAGACCCCTGGGTCCAAGGCCACTGGCACCACCAGGCCATGCGAGAGGCTGAGAAGCTCCTTCAAGAGTGCAGGCTGCATCCTCTTAAAATGCCTTTGAGGTCATGTGACTCAGGCGTCAACACGAAGTGCCCCCCAGAAGCCACCACTCCATACGGAAGAGCCAGCCACTGCCTCTCTCCTGCCAAACCTCACCAGGCCACCAGGAGTTCTGGGTGGACTGGTGCCTAGAGAATGCTGGGGATTCGGAAAGGCGGGAAGACTGACCTTTAGGAAACATGGGGTATCCGGGCTGCCAGGCAGCTGGAAGGGACCCTCTTCTCCCTCTGGAGCCGCCTCTGGGCTCTCTCTGGTTGGAACACTTCATTAGGATACAAGTCACTCACACACAGTCGGGAGGAGTGTGCCAGGCAAACACCCCTGTGGACTCGGTGATGGGAAAACAGAGCAGCTCCACCCGCCCTCCCTCCACAGCCTCCGCTTCTCCAGCCCAGCCTCTCAGCCTGCTGGTCCCTGTGCCTTCGTCCTCTGCTCCTCCTTTCTGTGGCAGAATAAATAGTATTCTGCCAGTGGGTAAACAAATACATAGCTATTGGTGGACATTTGCACTATTTCCTGTCTGGGCTGGGAAAAAAGCAGCTGTGGGTAGTAGGGTACAAGTCTTTGCATTTTTCAAGACAACTTTATTTTTAAGTCCTCACTGAGGGTGTTTTTATTTTAAGAGAGAGGGAGAAAGAAAAACATCAGCTGGTTGCCTCCCACATGTGCCTGGAACAAGCAAATTTCTGCAGCGAAGGAAACCATCAACCATCAACAGAACAGGTGGGGCGAGTTGAGTGTGTGGTCCTCTCAGCTGAGCTCACGGCCATTTATTTGTGGTCCCTGTGACACCCGAGAGTTGACCAAACGGAAGATGGGTCCTCAGGCTGGACGTGAAAACGCCTGATGCTTCGGGCAGGGGTCCTCCCACTTCAGGGGCATCATCCCCTCCAGGCGACCACGGGGCCCCACCTCTTCTTATCCAGGAGGTCTGGGCTGAGGCCCAAGAAATGGCATTTCTAACAGTTTCCATGTGACGTGGAGGAAGAAAAAGGCAGAGGCTATGGAAGGCAAAGGGCAGTGTGGGAACCAATACCTGAGTAAGTCCATCCCCAAGGGCCTCCTCCATTCCTGCAGTCATTAATCATAGAAATGCCTCAGAAAGGGGTACAGATGGGCAATGTCAATGGGGCCAGGGATGTATCCCCATGGGGCCTTGGCTGTGTGCACAGATCACATCCCAACACCCAGCCTCTCCTACAGAGCCCAGGGCAGCCTTCTGATGGCCTGCCATTTCGGGGGAGCTCCTGCCACCTGGTGTCCAGAATGGGCACTACAGTGAGCGGTGACCCCTCCTTTCCCTCCACAGGCCCAGGGTTCTCCAGGCTGCCTCTCCCCTGAGGTTAAATCTAAGGAAAAAATGAACTGTTCCTAAAAATTTCAACTAATTATCAAAACACATGAAGACAGGCATACAAAACAATTACAATAAATATTTTTAATTAAGTCAAACACCAAAGCATAAATGTTAATATTTGTTAGAAAACACAGCATTTGGCTTATGAAAATAACCACTTTAAATGAAATCTTTTAGGCACTTGGGTGTAGAAAGTGCTGGAGAATAAGGTACAATCTACATTCCTGCTACTGAGAGCAACGAGAATCTGATCAAATCTTCAGCTTTCAACACTGTTAGCATTACTGACCTAAGAAAAGATACTGACTGAATTGGTCCATAAAACATTTTAAGTTCCAGTATATTTTAAACGGGAAAAATTTCACTAATAGTTAAGATTTCAAATTCCTTTAAGTCTGTTCACTGAAGTGTCAGCAGACAGAAGCCAAAGGAAGAATGAAAACTTTAAATGCCTTTGGCTTTCATGGCCAGGAAGCCTGCGGTGGCACTGAAGCAGATGGAGCTGGAGTCTGACCGAGCCCACAGCGCAGGGAGCGTGGGCCTGCCTGCAGTGTGCACGGTGGACATTCTGTTTGAATGTCAAAACGAGTGGTAGGCTATTGGCTGACCTTCCAATGAACCCTATAAAAAGGACATAAAAGTGCAGAGCCACTCGGAGAACCTTATTTCAGAAACTGTGGGGTTTGAAACATCGTCTGACACTGCACATTTTTTTGGGAAATACATTCTTGCTGTCAGTCGTCTTGCCTGTGTCCCAGGCTGTGGACAAAAGGCGCCCTGCTGTGGGTGCAAGGCCGCTGAGCCCAGCCGGGGGACGAGGGCTGGCACTGGCGCCCACCTCAGCGGGGGGACCACGGCCTGCCTGGAGCTGTCACGGGGCGGGCGGCTGGGCTTGCAGGTGCTGCAGCAGCCGCTCGCAGCGGGTGGGGGAGCGGTGCTTGTGCAGGACGGCCTCGGTCTCTCGCACCAGGAGGTCGGGGAACAGGATGCTGCCCGCCTGGAGCACCTCTGGAAAACCAAACACCCGGTGCACAGTCAACACCACCCAGAACAGGAATCCCGGGACACAGCATGGCACGGGCAGCGCAGACACATGGCCCCTGGGACAGAGCCGAGGGCCCGTCACCCCTTGTCTACAGTGACAAGGCAAGAACACAGTGGGGTCAAGAGTCTACTCAATGCCTGGTGCTGGGAAACCTGGACAGACAGATGCTAACCATGTGAAATCAGACCACCCTCTCAGACCCACACAAGAACACACACCAGATGGGTTAGCTAACGGTAAGACCTGAAACCCTAAACTGGCGCAGCTTGTGACACCCTCTTAGCGACAGTGTTTGGATGTCTTCTCAAGGGCAACCAAAGGACAAACAAATGGGACGTCAAATAAAGCGTTTTACAATGGCACCTTGCTCAGTACTGGTTTTGGAAAATACATCTTTCAGAAACACGTTATTGATGTCAACACTAGAGGCCTGATGCACAAAATTCCTGCAAGAGTAGGTCTTCCTTCCCGGCTGCGGGCACTGGCTTCCCTCACAGCCCTGCTTCGTCTGGAAGGACGTCTGGTCTAATTAGCATTTTATGCTTTTATTATTATAAAAAGAATGGGCTTCCTGTTACATTTTTAAAATATATTTTTATGGATTTCAGAGAGGAGGTGAGAGGGAAAGAGAGAAACATCGATGATGAGAGAGAATCATCGATTGGATGTGTTCTACATGCCCCCTACAGGGGATCAAACCTGCAACCCAGGCATGTGCCCTGACGGGAATTGAACCGTGACCTGGTTCACAGGCCGATGCTCAACCACTGAGCCCACGTGGCCAGGGCGGCTTCATGTTACTTTTAACAAATAATCAACATCTCAAAATTTATTCTATCTTAATTTCTTTTTCTTTTAAATTAGTTTATTTTTTTAAATATATTTCATTGATTTTTAACAGAGAGGAATAGAGAGGAATAGTTAGAAACATTGATGAGAGAGAATCATCGATCAGCTGCCTCCTGCACATCCCCCCACTGGGGATGTGCCCGCAACCAAGGTTCATGCCCTTGCCCAGAATCGAACCCGGGACCCTTCAGTCCGCAGGCCGACGCTCTATCCACTGAACCAAACCGGTTTCAGCCTATCTTAATTTCTATTACAGTAACCATCGCTGGACTCACCCAAAGACCAGCATTCTTTGGGGTGTCCAGCGGCTCTGAGGGACCCCCCTGCCCTGCCCGCTGTGCTTATGCGGCCATCTGACAGCCACGTAGAGCGGCTCGTACCCAGAGGCTTACCCAGGACGGCGTCCTGCACGGCGCTGTCGGGGTCGTCCAGGTACACGAGGAGCTCCTTGTACAGGTGCTGCACGTCACGCTGGTAACAGGCCTCGGCGCCGTCATTCCTGATGCACTCCAGCCAGACGGCCAGGGCGGAGGCGGCCGCCAGCCTCACTTCAGTGGAAACATCATCCAGCCGTTTCAGGAGTTCTGGAGGGAGGGCAGCGCGGGGTGGGCCGGCCTGTGCAGGTGCTCACCAGGTCCCAGAGACCCACCCTGCACCCGAGGCCCTGCCCTGCACCTAGAGACCCGGTCTCACACTCGGAGACAGCATCCTGCACCCGGAGGTCCCGCACTCGGAGACCCCTTCCCGCACTCGGAGACCCCGTCCTGCACCCCGAGACCCGCCTGCCCCCAGGCCTCCTGTGTAAGGTGCTGAGGGTGCCACCGCGGACACTGCTGAGCCCCAGCCCATCTGGACACCTGCCAGGTTCCAGGCCACTTGGGCCCCATGATGCCGATTCAAAGCCTATCACCCACAGGCCCAGGCCGCCACCCCCCCCTCATCGAGCAGACAGCACGGGGTGGGGGTGTCTGTGGGCCCCGCCCTCTGAGGCTCTGGGGATGAGACACAACAGCTGCCAGCGGAGCCAGCCTTGTTCCTGCTGAGCCTCCAGACCTCTGCTGCTGACAGCACCCTCCTACTGCGGAGTCTCCCCATTCATCTAACACGCTGTCTCACGTGTCCCCAAGAACGTGGGCCCCACAACTGGGCGTCGTGTGGCGACTCAGCAGGTGCTGGCACACACCACACGCCGGGGACAAGAGCACGGAAGGGCAGTGCAGCCTGTGGTAGGGGCCATCCTCAGATGAGGTCACGACCTCTCACCCCTAAACCGTCTCAGCAGGTCCAGCCCATTGTAATCCAGTGCCCCAAGTTTTCAGTTTCAGGAACTATTTTTCACCCCCAGGAACTCTCACCACCATCTTTTAAAAGCCTCGCCACCTTTGTGGCATGCAGCACAGATCACAAAAACGAGCTGAACAAGAACCGCCCGGGCATCCCCTCCCCAGTCTCCGCGCCCCCCCCCCCCCCCCCGAGGCGGCTGCCCGGGCCTGGGCGTCAGCCCATAGTCCACCTGCACTTCCTAGTGGATTCTTCTTCCCATGACCCTTCTTTCTATCACCGTTTTGATCCTCAACTTGTTTGTAATGAGCGTTACCCATGTACCTTTCTGAGGTCCTCAGACACATTTTAAAAGATAACAGGGTGGATACCGTTTTGCACTCGGTGGGACGGAAGGAGCTAGCTTTCCCGCCTCTGGAGCCTTGAGGCAGGACCTCCGGGCTCAGGACTCTGCCTGGCGGACGAGGTCTGGCTCCTGCATCAGGGATCCTAAGAGGCAGTGGTGCCAGGGATTCAAGTTGAGGGGGCACATGCCTCGCCCAGGCCTGGGCTCTCACCCAAGGGTCCCGGCCGCACAAGGGCTGCATCCTGGCAGCTGAGGGCACCTGAGTGTCCGCCCGCTTCTCCCTGTTCTCACCCACGTCCGGCCCATCTGCCTGTTCCCCACGCTGGTTACTCAGTGACCTTTGTATCTGTCACTGATGAGTTTGGCCTCCTAACGCCAACTTCACCGGAAGTTAAAGTAGCATTTTCTAATTTTCCAATAAAAGAAAACAGCTCTCAAGTACATGCAAATGCTTTGGGAAAGAAGCACGTCCTACCAGGATAAATCTTGGTGAACTTGTTGGGCTCAGTCGCACCGCCAGAGGATTTTAAAAACGCGCGAACGATGCGGCAGGAGGTCAGCCGGGTCATCTGGGAGTCTTCCTCCAGGGCGGTCAGGACCGGGGGCAGCAGCGTCTCCCGCACGCCCTCCACCTGCGGCACCAGCACGGGGATGTGCACCGGCACGCACCGGCCGGCACGCGCCCGCCGTAAGCACGGACAAAGGGGTCTGGATGCTATTTTGGAGTTTCTACTTAGGCAGACAAAGCTGGATTTTAAAATCTAGATAATTTGAATAATTTTTGTTTAACTTGGCCAATTGAGTTTTAAAAATCATTATTCAAAAAGTCTCACCGAGACACAAACCCCGCTAGCCTGCTATTTCCTAGTGCGACTGCCATGTCCGAGCAAACCTGGGGCATTTTAACTGAAGCCAGGTTGTCTCAGTGCCAGGGGGAGCCCACGGGAGGGGAGCCACAAGCAGAGAAACGACGTGACACTTCCTACTGCTCCCTGAGCCCCCTGCTGGCCGGGAGAGGAACACACACGTTGTCAGGCTCCTTGTGAAGAGGAACATTCAATGTGCAAACCTAAGAGAACCCCCAAAGGACCAAAGAAAAACACCCCTGACTCTGCACCCCACCATCCCACCCCACAGGACCTCCGAGAGGACCCTCAGCCCAGGAGCCCGGGAAGACGCCCTGGCCCTGGCCCAGGACACCCAGCCGCACCTGGGAGGCCGTCAGGGCCTCGCTGCTGAGGAGGGCCCAGAGGCAGGACACGGCGGCTGTGCGGATGGCTGCGGCCGTCCTCCCCGCGCGCCACTGCAGGCTGGGGACCAGGATGTCTGCGACCATGGCGTCGAGGTGGCAGTGCAGCTGCCTGAGGAGGAGGAGCAGGTGAGGAGGGGCCTTCACGGAGCCGCCGGCCCTGGGGACGAGGCCAAGCAGACAGCAGAGACGAGCGAGCGTGGCACCGAGCCAGGGCGCTCTGCTCCCGGAGGAAGGGGCGTGGTCAGTCCGGCGAGTGCCCAGGCCCCTCTGGCCTCTCCTGGGAGCTGCCTGGGTCGGGAGCCCAGAGGAGCCCAAGGACCCGCTGGTCCGAGCTTCCCCGCCACTCCCCCGGCTCTGGGAGGAGCAGCAGCCACTGCACAGGCCTACAGGCCCCACCACGCCCTCCTCAGCAGGAACCCCAGGCCTGCACCGGGACCCCCAGTGCAACGACAGACGCAGACGGTCCGCCAGCTCAGCAGGGGGCTGCCTCCCCGTGGTGACCCACCACTTCGATGACACCAGGACACACACACCAGACCCAGCCCGGCTCTGGTGGCCCCAACGGCAGGCGCCAGCTCCCTCCACACCGAGACGAGCCTCCTCCGCTCACAGATCAAAACACACACGTCACTGAACAAGCAACTCCTCCCTACGTCCCCGCATCACTACGAAGCACACTACAAAGGGGCTCAGGTCTCTGTCCCCGCTGTCCAGAGCTGGGGAGACGGGGTGCAAGGCCGCGGCCTCCAGCAGGAGGCACTGCAGAGCGGAGGACAGAGGAAAGGACACAGGACGCCTTATGCCCTTTAATCTAAGCAGAGCTGCGGTTCCCTGGGCGCTGACAGGAGCGTCTTGGAAAGATGTGCTTGGTCCTGTGGCTCTGAGTGGCCCAAGGACCAAGCGCTGGCCTCCAGGAGCCGGGCAGTGGCCTGCAATGCGTCTCACCCTGACCTGCCCCCGTGGCACAAAGGCTGCGGCATGAACACGCCCCCAGCACCAGCTTCGCGCAGGCAGGCACCCGCCAGCCCGCCTGCCCGCCCGCCCGGGAAGCAGCGGGCTCGCCTCCGCCGCCTCAGAGCTCGGCCAGACCGGCGCGCCCTGCAGAGCCGGCACAGAGCCCGGCCTGGGGACCTGCTCGTTGTTCTGAGGGCTCTGCACAGAGGGGGCCGCGCCACTTAGGGCAGCCCCCGGAAACGCCGTGCTCATCGGAGACCACGTACGTCCTCAGGGCGAGGAGCCCTGATGATGTGTGGGTCTGCAGAGACGTGACGGGGCTGGAAGCCAGCCCCTCGCCCAGAGCACGGCTGACTGATGAGCGGACACCACAGTCGAGGCTCCGGACAGCGAGTCAGACAGCAGTCGCCATCTCACAGCCCTAACGAGCACACCACGTGCGACTTAACCTCCTTCTTCCCGCGTGACCACACCGCAGACTTTCTTCCCAACACCGGTTCCTGCCAGCGTGAGGCTCAGCACAGTTCCCGTGAGAACTCTGTCTACACTCGGCCACCGGTCAGCAGGTGAGTGTCCTCGGACCCGCGGGCACAGGGTGCAGGTGAGCCCCTGGCAGGCACTCACACAGCCTCCGGTGACCCCGCGGGCCTGCGAGGGCGCCAGGCTGCACGCCGCATGCTCACGGTCCCTCCGCGCCAGCTTCTGCAGATGAGCTGGAAAGCGGGTTCCTGACCGATGCCCGCTGGAGGCCCAGCGGAGAGGGGTCCACGTGGCAGCCTGAGGAGGCGTCTGGGCGGCCTCGACAAGCAGGGCTCCCTTAGGGACGGTCCCCACAGCTCCCAGCGTCCACCTGAGCCACTACCCTGCTCTGCAGATTTAACGAAGGTTGGGGGGCCCTGGAGGCTCTGCCCGCAGGCCGCTCCCATCTCTGCAGTAGCACGGCAGCCAGAGGCTGGAGGCTCCCACCACCGAGACTCCACCAGTTCTGAGTGGTGGGAAAGGAGCCAAAGGCCTTTCAACGAGCACAGCTAACAGAAGCACGGACGGTTAACACTCCCTGAACCTCCGCTCAGTGGATTCTAACGACCATCCCCGAGCAACTGGGACCAGCCTCCCGTGCGCTGCCCGCACTGGCCACCTCACCCTTCCCTCCCCGAGGAGCTGCCGCAGCAGGGACTCTCGTGGGTGAGGCGGGTGCAGCGTGGGGGAGGGGGTGCAGCATGGGGGGGTGGCAGCGTGGGGGAGGGATGCACTGTGGGGAAGGGGTGCAGCATGGGGAGGAGGTGCAGCGTGGGGGGCTGGCTGGTGTAGCGTGGGGAGGGGGTGCAGCGTGGGGGAGGGGTGCAGAGTGGGGGTGTGGCGTGGGGTGGGGTGGGCCGGGCCGCAGGGGGAGCCCACGTACCCTTGGGAGTCCACGGTCTCCTTTGCGCTGAGCAGTGCCCGGGACAGCACGGAGAGGAGCCTCAGGCGCATCTGGGGGTCTCTGTCCGGCTGCAGGCAGCTCCGGAGGATGGGCACCAGGTGGGGCAGTGCTTCTCCGAGGGCAGGGCCTGGAACAGAGCAGCCGGTTCTGTCCCTGTGGGAGGCTGGGAGGCAGGAGCCCGCACCAGAGAGGCGAGCAGCCCCCTGCGGGCAGGACAACCCCTCCCCATCGCGAACGTGATTATCTCAGCAAGGTCACCGAGCACATTCAGCCCCCACTCACTCTGATCGCTCCGTTTGTAACTTCCTACTTCTTATGTTTTCCCAAATTATTAGAAATTAAAGCCCAGCAATGTATTAAACATCAACAGAAGTCAATCACTAAAGAAACGATGGGGTTCCCTGAACTCACGCCAGATCAGACCGGCCACAGCCCCATGCATGCGCATCCCCATTCACCCCCACGCGCACACGCACGCCCATGCATGCACTCCTGAACACACAGAGGGGTCAGAGGAAACCCAGTCAGGTGACCGAGCTGTGTGGCCCGTGTTTTCTGGGTAGAACATGAGGTGTGGCCAATTAGTGATGCCGCCGCCACGAGAACCAGCTTTTGGAACTGCAGGTAGGAGCTCAGCCCTGTATGTCCCGCCACGAAGCAGGCTGGTCCCTGCACACCTGCCCGGCACCCCATCTTGTCTGTGACCCCGGAGCACCTGACTTGTGGCCTGTTTGAGGAACATCATAGACACACGAAATGGAACAGGTGACACGGGACCCTCCAGAGCAGCAGGGGACAGGAGGTGCTGTCAGTCACATGGGACAAACCTGCCCAGGCTCCCACAGCCCGGGGGACAGCCCAGGGCAGCCGAAGGGGCTCAGGAAAGCAATACGGAGACTAAAGGACACCAACACGGAACCACTGCCCGCGCACTCACCCCTGTGCACTCTCACAGCTGTACCCGGCTCGGCCCGCCTGTCTGCACTGAATCGCTGGAGTTCCGTTACCGATCTCCCCCTGTCCCCGCACCCTTCATCCAGGGAAGGCCTGGCAGGAGGTCCCCATGGGGGCGCTGGGCAGGCTTACCTGCGCGGGCCACCAGCGTGCTGAACTGCAGGAGCTCCGGGGAGCGTGCCGTCCAGCCCTGCTGGGAGCTGCCCAGCTGCTCCAGGAGGGGGCCCACGTGCTGGCGGTAGAGGTCCTGGCTGTCGCCACTGCTCTCCACGGCGGCCAGGGCGGCCTCGGTCTCCTGAATCTGGGAGGGGAGTCACAGCTGGGCCATCTCCGCCGCTCAGCCACCGGCCACGTCCCCGTGAGGTGTGCAAACCCTCGGACACGTTCCAGGGACCTAGGACTGCAGGGGCCCCGCTCCCCAAGTGACGCAGCAGCCCTGGGGCATACGAGCACAGACGCCCCCACCCCGCATCCTTTGCTCAGCACTCGACCCGACAGACCCCTGGGCGACAGTAACTGCTGTCCTGGACAGAGGGTGAGGGAAACGGGGGGCTCCCACGCACCCCTCCCTGCTTCTCCTCGGTGGGGACAGCCAGGAAGGTCCTGGGCAGGTTTGTCCCATGTGACTGACAGCGCCTCCTGTCCCCTGCGCAGCCGGCAGGTCTGTCTGCAGACCTGTGAGCCGACAGCTGTTACTACCTCACGCCAGGCCCCCGGAGACGGCCCCTGAAAGGTGGTTGTTAGAAGGACGGGGAGGGAGGAGCCCTGTCCACAGGCGGCCCGCCTGGGCTCTCGGAGCAGCTCCTGGGCCCGCGGGGACGGACGCCCGTTTTAAGCCTTAAGACAGGGCCAACGGGATGCGCAGCTGCCTGAACATCACACAGGCCATGCTACCGGCCTCTCCAGCCTTCAGCTGTGTGTGCATGTGCGTTAGCCGCGCTCACCACGGGTCTGTGTGGGCGAGGACCCTCCTCCATGCTCCTGCAGCGTCGCCCACACTAGGCCGTCTTCACCGAGACCGGGAAGCTGGCGACTGTGGAGGGCACCGGGTCCTGGGCACCCCGAGGCCAGCTCTTGGGGCTGGTCTCTCGTCTTTGGGATTTACAGTCATGTGTGCATCGGCCAGAGGGGCGTCCTCACCTACAAGGCCAAGCGGGTCCCTGCAGGCTCACCTGGTCGCCGAGGCCGGAGGCCCCCGGGAGTGCCATCACGGTCACCAGCACCTGCATGAGCTGCAGGCCGCAGCCCCGGCAGTCCTCCCCGCACGTGGACAGCGCCGCCTGCACGCACCGCAGCAGGTGCTCCCCGTAGCGCAGCTGTGAACAGAGCGGGAGCTGTCAGCCCGCCCCTGGGCCACGGCCACGATGAGCCACCGGAACAACGCGTGGTGCCTGGCTGTGGCGTCCAGTGCCAACCACGAAGGGCATTTTTTAGACAAAGGCCAACCGAACAGATTGGGAACGGACATGTTCTTGCTAATTTCATTAATTGCTCAACAGTATTTATGGGTGTTTTTAAAGTTCTTACGTGTCAGTGATGCTAACTCGTAACGGAGCATTTACTAGAGAAACAGCTGGACATCCTGGATTTGCTTCAAAACAAATCCAAGTTCAAGAAAAGTGGGGGCGGCAGCGCAGCGGGAGCCAGTGATGGGCGGTGTGCCGGGCCTGAGGTCTGTCTGGCTGCTTTTGTGCGTTTGGAAGCACTTCTGTGTCTTCAGGGACAAAATGGCTCCCGATGGGCGCGAGAGGCAGGCGGTGACTGCGGGCCGGGCCGTCGGCACTGCCTGCAGGACCTGGATGCCGGCCCCAGAGCAGCAGTTTGGTGCTTGTACCTGACCCCTGACATCTTCCACAGTCAGATTTCTCTTAGCCGGGGTGGGTGATGGACTTTTCGAGGATGTGGTTTTGTCTAGTTTCTAAAAGGCCTACAACGTATGATTAAGGAGAGGCCATTTTAACATCATTACATTAAATATAAATTTGCTTTCTAAGACTCGGAGTGCAGACCACTGGTCCGGCCTAGGCGGGGCTGTGTGATGGGACTTTATCAGGGAGGCGTCCCTCTGTGAAGATTGTGAGACCGTTGCGGTTACCATGACGGCACCCCACCCGCCCTTACGTTCTCCGAGCCTTGGCGGATGCGCTCCCCGGCCAGCTCCGAGGCGATGGCCGTCAGGTGTGGCCGCAGGGCTTCCCGCGGGCAGCCCCGGATGAGTGCGGCGAGGACCAGGAGGCCGGAGGCGGAGGGCGACTTCCTCAGCATCGGCCAGAGCAGCTTCAGGAACACCTCCGGGCTGACGAAGGTCCCGATGAGCTCCGCGGACCTGGTGCACTGGGAGGAAACCGGGCTGAGGGCGCCGCGTCTGCTTCCTGACCACAACAGCCTGGGCCTGCGGGCCGGTGCCGGACCAGGCCGAACCAGGCCGGCTGTGCTCAGAACGTCCCTGAACAGAGCTGACGCCACTGCTGGTGGGAGGCTCAGTTCTAAGGGTCCCCTGGCTGTGAGGAGGGGGGACAGCTCGCCGCACAGCTGGGTGACCCAGGTGTGGGGAGCGAGAACACCCCCAGCCCAGGCTGTGCATCTCCGGTCGGCCTCAGGACGGAGCGCAGAGCGGGGTGGGGCGGGTGCGGGTGAGGCGTTGGGGACGGGGAGCGTTCTGGTCTGGCCGAGGGCTGGGTCCTCGGCTGTCACCCTAGAAGGCGCGCCGCAGGAAGGGGAGGTGGGGAAGGCCGGAGGGACTCACGCTGCTGACCACGGCGGCCTCCTCGTCGGCGCAGGCCAGCAGCAGGGTCCGCAGCAGGACCTCCAGGTGCTGCGTGGCGTGGTCCTCGGCGTGCAGCAGCAGCACCGCCAGCAGCTGCGCGGCCTTCACCCGGGTGCCCGCCACCCAGTCGGTGACGTCGTGGCAGATGGCGGGAAGGATCTTGGAGAGGTTCCTGAAGACGAGCTCCCGGCAGCCCAGCCCTGGGCGCGTCTCTGGTTAAGAAGGCGAGACGTGACCGCGGCTCAGAGCCTCTCCCGCAGCTGTGTCCGCTCCGGGACGCCACGGACACGAGCCGCGGGTACTGAGCCTGTGGCTGAGGCCACCGTGCCGCAGCCGTGTCAGAACTCCATGCCTCTCACAGCCAAGGAGCACGCGTGCCTCAGGGTCCCGTGTGCACCCCTCGCTGCAGGGTCACTCCCTGTGGGGCTGCTGGAAACACACCCGCGCATATCCGGGACCCGCCAGTCCACAGGCCAACGCTCTATCCACTGAACCACACCAGCTGGGCCAGATCTGGTTATTCTGAGGTGGACACAGGAGAGGCCTTTGCCTCGCAGCAGAGGTGTGACTGGCCCGGGAGGTGCCTGAGGCATGTGGACGAGCACCTTCCCGCCCAGAGCATGGACAGACGCCCAGAGCTTGGGCGACAAGTCCTCTCCTCGGGCAGGGAGGCCACAGGAGCCCGGCTGGGTGGGGCACATGCAGCTGCCTCCGCTGTGTACAGACTTAACTGCAGTCGGAAAACAGAAACCGACCTCTCGCTGTTTCCCCGAGTCGGGCAGGCCTGCAGGCTGAGTCCCAGGCCCACACCCAGGCAGGCAGCGTGCTCAGCTGTGCTGAGGCAGAGCGCCGAGCGCGCCGGCGAGGGCCTACCCTCCGTGCAGGGGCCGGGGACCAACCCAGATGGGGGTCAGGGAAATGACCAGGAGCCCCACCCAGCGCCCGCGCTCAGCATCTGCCCAGGAGGACGGCCACGCAGAACCTGCGTGCAGGTGGGGACGATGGCCTCACAGGAAGTCACCCCATGACACGGCCGTGCAGACGGACGCAGACTCGGCACCAGGACCCTGCCCCAGGAGGGCAGGCACCAGCTCTACGCGGCTCGCCCCTCCTCCTGGGCCGGCTGCAGCAGCCTCGCTCGTCCCCGCCCGGGAAGGCGGCACCCACCTGGCGAGGGATGATGGGCAGGCGGTGGGGAGGCGAAGTCGAGCTTGTCCTTTAGGTCCTCCTCGTTCTCCTTCTGCCACTGCAGGCCGGCCTCCGCCCAGAGGCTGGCGGCCTCCTGCCTGCGGACAGACAGATGGACAGTCAGGGAGGACGGGCCAGGACTGCCGGGTGCTTGCTCACTTTACTGGCAGTCTGAGAGCTGACTAAGGTCGGTGCCCAAAGCCCTTTTATGCCACGTGACCTCACACACACAGACCAGGGCACGGGCTGGGCGCCGTGAGCACATGACAGTGTCAGTGACGGGCTGGGAAGGCTGGGCCCTGCCAACCAGCCCACAGGGACAGGCAGCGAGGGCGGGAGGTCAGCCCCACCGCCCTGTCACTCACACGATGTGCGGCATCTCGTCGTCGAGGCTGCTGAGCAGCAGGGGGATGAGCTTGTGGAAGAAGGAGTACCGGTCCCGCAGTGCCAGCAGCCAGCTGCCCACCACACGGGTCACCGCCTGCCGGACCTGCGGGACAGAGCCGGGTTCACGCTGGGCAGACAGCGCCGAGGGCAAGGTGGCAGGGCCACAGAAGATAGCTCCGGGCCGGGGCCAGGGCTGAGCCGGTCCCAGAGCTGCTCCAGGCGCTCGCTCAGCTCCCCGGCTGATCCCGGCCCGGCCGATACTCCGGCTCGACCCTCTGCTGGTGAGAGCAAGCCTCCCGCCCCAGCACACTGGTGTCCGCAGCGTTCTGTGCGGGAACCTGATCTGTGGGGGAGCCCGGTTCTGTGGGGAGCCTGTTACCAGTGGGGGAAGCACGAGGGGCAGAGACGTAGCTTGGCTGAAGCCCTGCCTTTACCTGACCCCTGGCAATGTAGCTCATGATCAGGAATTTGGTCCAAATTAACAACAACAGCAAAAAAGATTAAAATGGCAAACTATGTTCTAAGTACACACATATATATGTTACACGTTATATGTATATATATATGTGGGCTAATCCTCACTCGAGGATTTTTCCCCATTGGTTTTTAAAGAAAGGAAAGGAAGGGGTAGGATGCTAAAAAGGGAGGGAAGAAACATTGATGTGAAAGGGAGGGAGTGAGAAACATTGATGTGAGAGAAACACATTTGCCTCCTGCACACGCCCCGACCAGGGACAGAAATCAAACCTGCAACCCAGGTACGGTGTACCCTTGACCTGGAATTGAACCCAAGACCCTTTGATGTGTGAGCCAACGCTCTAATCACTGGGCCACACTGGCCAGGGCACGTTCCATCTATTTTACCAAAAATTTAAAAAATGTAGTATGTCAAAAACATTGGACACTTTAAATAGTGTTACATGAATTACGGCTTAACAGAAGTGTCTACCATGTTAAGCGCCCAGTCACCAGTAACTGACGCTATAACTTTCTGTCCGGAAGACAAAACAGGCTAAGTGCTTAATGTGTTAAAAACTAAACAAGCCCTAGCCCAGTGGTCGGCAAACTCATTAGACAATGGAGCCAAATAGCAACAGGACAATTGAAATTTCTTTTGAAAGCCAATTTTTTAAACTTAAGCTTCTTCTAATGCCACTTCTTCAAAATAGACTTGCCCAGGCCACACTCAAGAGCCCCGAGAGCCACAGTCTGCCGACCATGGCCCTAGCCAGTATGGCTCAGTGGATAGAGTGTTGGCCTGCGGATCAAAGGGTCCCCGGTTGGGACTGGTCAAGGGCATATACCTGGGTTGCAGGCTCCTCCCTGGCCAGACCCTGGTGGGGGCACGCAGAAGGCAACCCATCCCTGTTTCTCCCACATCGGTGCTTCTCCTGTCTCTCCCCCTCCCACTTCCCCTAAAAGTCAATGGGAAGGTACCCTTGGGAGAGGATTGACAAACATAAACCAAACCACCAAAGTCAAGTGCCTGGGAAGAGCGCCGGGCGCCTGAGGGGAGCAGCCTGGGGCCACAGCTCAGGCCTCGGGCAGGAAAGTGCAGACGAGACACTGAGAGGCTGAGACACGGGGTTCCACGCACGGAGTAACCCTTCCACTGTCAGGGAGCAGGGCCACGCCACCCAGGGGCCTCAGAGCTGAAGGCAGGGGCGCCTCCCAGCCCTCTAGGACTCCTGCCTGGGCTGCAGCCCCTCCCCCCTGGACTGAGCACGGGGTCCCCTCCACGGGCCTCCCCGGGGAGACAGCCTGCCTGCTGCAGCCCTCCTCTGCCCCTTGGGACGCTTCACCAGCGGACACGCCCTCGGGGGTGGCTTCCCCACTCGGTCCGCCCCTGGGGGCATGGTGAAGACGCCTCTGCACACAGACGCTTACAGCTCAGCTTCCCGCCTGCCCCTAAGAGACACAGTGCTCCTCGCCTCCTCGCTGAGGGGTCGCCGGTGCGTTCGGACTGTGCAGCTCCCGGTTCCGGGAGGCGGTGGAGCAGCACTGGCGGAGGCACGGGTCTGGTGTGATGCACGTCCTGAGGGAGGAGGAAGCCGGCACACAGCCTGCGGCCGCTCACCCAGAGGAGGGGCCTCTCACCTGTGGGACGTCGTCGAAGAGCCGCTGGGCAAAGTGAGGGAGCACGTCGTCCACCGACTTCCCGCTGCCGAACTGGATCACCGTGCCCGTGGCCTCGACGACAGCCACACGGACCTTCCAGTGCTGGTGCGAGATGCTCTGCATCAGCGGCCCGACCAGGGACTCGGACTGCATGTGGAAGTGGTCTGCGGGCGGGAGGCCAGTGAGCGGCTGCCCGGTGGGCCCCTGCCCAGTGCGTGGTGCCCGGGACGGGTCCCAGCCCCGGGGCCTTCCCTCCCACCGAGGTCCCTGCACAGGACGGGACGGCACTGGGAGAGGCACAGGAGCAGGCCTGGGACCCAGCAGCACGGCTCCGACCAGGCGGGGCCCCGGGGAAAAGGCTGGGGCCTGAGCCCCTCCGAAGAAAATGGGGGCTGGGAGAAGAGCCTGAGGATGCCGACCAAGAGAAGGACACCGAGCCAAGAAGGCCCTGTCCCAGCCCCACCTCAGCCCCACCCCAGCCGTGCCCAAGCCAGACCCCCAGCCCTGCTGTGGGGGGGCCAGTGCTGCCTGCTTGAGGACTCAGCATTGGAAAGGTCTTCACGACAGCCAGGCCGAGCCGGCCAGCGGGGTCAGCGGTGTCAGCATTGACCTATGAGCCAGGAGGTCACAGTTGGGATTCCTGGTCAGGGCACACGCCTGGGTTTCAGGCTTCATCCCCAGTGGGGGTTGTGCAGGAGGCAGCCAATCAATGATACTCATCATTAATGTTTCTCTCCCTCCCTCTCCCTCTTTCTCTGAAATCAATGACACATACAGACAGCTGGCCTCAGTGCTGCTGCTGCTTGAGATCTGCCTGCAGGTCCTTACCTCCTGCTCCACCCCACCCCGGCTCCCGTTGCCCTTCACACTAAACCCAACCCCCACTATCCCCTCCTTCCCTGAATTCAGTCACCTCGGCCTTCTCTTCGCCCCAACCTGCCAACCTTACTCCTCAAGCCTGGTCTTTCCTGACCACCCAGCACCCACCTTCCCATGGGGGCTCTCTCCTCAGGGAAGCCTCCCGGACTGGACTAAGCCAGCACTTGCCCTACCTCCTCACACCCCGCCTGGTAAGGCACCATGCTGCGGAAATGGCCGCATAGGAAAGGGGATCTAAGTAGGGAGGATGACTGACGGAAGCTGGAGGAGCGGCCACCCTCCATTGGGGAGGGCAGCAGTCCACGCCAGGAGACAGGGGACCCCGGGGAAATGCGGATGAAAAGACTGGAGCGGCGCTGACCGGTTTGGCTCAGTGGATAGAGCGTCGGCCTGCGGACTGAAGGGTCCCAGGTTCGATTCTGGTCAAGGGCATGGACCTTGGTTACCGGCACATCCCCAGTAGGGGGCAGGAGGCAGCTGATGGATGTTTCTCTCTCATCAATGTTTCTAACTCTCCATCCCTCTCCCTTCCTCTCTGTAAAAAAAAAAAAAAAGACGGGAAAGTGTTTCTCAGTGCGTCCCCTGCGAGGGGCAAGGCCGGTCCCATACCCGCTTGAACTTCAGCGGTGGTTTTTGTACGTTGGGAGAAAGGCGATGGGGAGGAAAGAAGGGGCCCAGGAGGGGACCCCGCAGGGCCAGGCCAACAGGTGCGGGGGTCGCTCCCTCTCCTCTCCCTCCCCGCCCCGCTCCCCGCCCCTCCCCCCGCTCACCCGGCGTGGCGCGCGCCAGCCCCGCTGCGCACTCGCAGCTCTCGCGGCGCACGGCGGCGAAGGGGTCGAGCAGCGCGCAGCGCAGAGCGCGCACCGCGTCGTCCAGGTGGGGCGCGAGCGCGGCGCCGCCCAGCTCCACGGCCGCGCGCAGCAGCTGCACGAGCGCCAGGCGCAGCTCCTCGCAGGCCTCGGGCGGCGCGCGGCGCGCGGGGTCGGGGCCGGCCAGGCGCGCGGCGAGCGCGGGCAGCAGGCGCGGCAGGGCGTCGCGGGGCCGCGCGGCGCGGCGCAGGCCCAGGCCCAGCAGGTGCACGGCCAGCGCGCGGCAGCCCTCGGCCGGGTCGGCCAGGCAGCGCAGCAGGCGCGGCAGCAGCAGGCGCGCCCAGGGGCCCTGGAAGGCGGCGGCGGCGGCGGCGGGCGCCTCGGCCGGCTCGGCCGCCTCCAGGGCGCGCTGCAGCGCCTCGAGCGCGCGCCGCCGGCCCAGCTTGCTGTCGGCCTCCAGCCCGGGCAGCAGGCGGCTCAGGGCGCGGCTCAGCTCCGCCGCCTCGGCCGGCTCGGCCGCCTCAGCCGGGCCCGGGAGCGCCGCGGCCTCCGTCGCCACCAGCGCCGCCATCTTCCCGCGTTACCCGTCGCCTGGGGAGACCGGCGCTTTTACGACGGCGCGGATTACGGCCCGGCTTCCGGTGGGCTCGGAACGTGACCTGATTGGCCGCCGGGAGCCTGATGGGCCCGCCCCTTGAGCCGGGGGCCGCGCGTCCGCGTCCGGAGCCTGGGAACCGCGGCCGAAGGCTTCGCACCTGGGTCCCCGCCTGCGCTCCGGCCCCCCGGCCTGCACCCCGGACCCCCCGCAGGTGATGGGGCTCCGGATCGGCCCCCGCCCCTCCCGTCTGGGACGCTGCGCGGAGTGCGTCTTCAGAAAGCAGAGGGTCCTTCAACTTTACTTCGAACCCGACCCCCCTTGTTGGTTGGCATTGGTTCGGAAAAGTAGGGGTGCTAATGGACGATCCTTGTGTTTTTAAGCGTCTTTAGGTCGCCCTGGGCACCCCTCGTTCATGCTTCCCTCTAGGCCGCTCCCAGGCCTCTCTGACCGTCCATAGGACTGACCACGCCCAGTGATTGAGATGACATTGGGTTTACATCTTCTTCCTTTCTCTTAAATGTGTTTTTACTAAAGGCCCGATGCACAAGGTTTGTGCTTGGGTAGGGTCCCTAGACCTGGCCAGTGATCAGGGCTGATCTGTGGGGCGATGCCCTCCTCCCCTGCTGGCACCTGCCTTGACTGGCCTGGGGCCTGTGGGCAGCTCCTGCATTGACTGCCCCCCTGGTGGTCAGTGCCTGTCATAGCAACCGGTTATTCCACTATATTTGGCTTTTATTATGTAGGATTGATATTAGAGAGAGAGCAAGGGACAGAGAAACACCAATGTGAGAAACTCATCAGCTGCCTCCCAACTGGGGATCAAGCATCCAGGGCATTGTCCCGACCGGGATTCAAACCAGTGACCTCTTGGTGCGTGGACGATGCCCAACCAACTGACCTACACCAGCCAGGGCTGGGCTTATTTCTTAGCATTAACTGTAGAACTTGGAAGTCTCTGCGTTTGAGCCAGAAGGGAGGTAGATGTGTCCACGTGTGTAACCAGGGGCAGAAAAAGAGACCCTTCCTCTGAGTAAGTTTAAAGAGCAGTGAGAGCCCGGCCGTGTGGCTCAGTGGGTAGAGAATCCTCTCATGCAGCAAGGAGTCACGGGTTTGATTCCCAGCTTGGGCACTTGCCTTGGTTGCAGACTTGATCCCCAGTAGAGGGTGAGCAGGGGGCAGGTGATTAAAATAAAATAATAAAGTAAAAAAAACCCTCTCTCTAAAATAATTTTAAAAAATAATAAAAAGAGCAGTGAGAGGTAATAAAAAGTGACTTCATCGTGTTCCAGGCTCATTGTGTGGTGTGTCCTAGTTACACACAGTATAAGGCCGTGGTCGGCAAACTCAATAGCCAACAGAGCCAAATATCAACAGCACGACGATTGAAATTTCTTTTGAGAGACAAATTTTTAAACTTACACTTCTTCTAACGCCACTTCTTCAAAACAGACTCGCCCAGGCCGTGGCATTTTGTGGAAGAGCCACACTCAAGGGGCCAAAGAGCCACATGTGGCTCGCTTGCTGTAGTTTGCCGACCACGGGTATAAAGTGTGCCATTTAAGCAAGTGCAATAAACTGATTTTAGCAAATAATGCCCGCTGGTCTCATTATTTCATCCAACAAGCGTTTGTGGGAGGTGCACCGTTTCGGACATTCTGCCCGGCCCTGGGACGGAGCTGTGAGTCAGAGCGGATCCTGGCCCTCCTGGAGCTGGTGGCCGGGCCGGGAGGGGGCTCACCCAGGGCCAACGCGGGGAGGTGCGGTTGTGCTGTGAATGACCTGGAAAGGATGGCTTCTCAAGGGGACATGGGAGGTGGGGTCTGAGGAATGAGGTTCTGGGGCCCTATGATGGGGAAGCAGCTGGGGGGGAGGGTGTGTGGAGGGGGGGATGCGAGCAGTCCCCCCATCCTGCTGGCCTCGGGATGCTCCTGGACTTGCCTTTGAAAAGGTGTTTGTCTCCTCTTCATGCAGAGTGAACAGAGAATAAGACAAACACACATACACACACACACACACACACACACACACACCCCGTGCCTGGGAGACAAACTAGGCAAGCAGCCTCGTGTGATACTCAGCAGCATGTGATGAGAGCTACGGACTGCAGGGGCCCAGGCAGCCCCCCCGCCCCAGGTGCCCAGCTTCCCGGTAGGTGTGGGTGCCACTGGGAAGTCCCTGCAGAGGTAACGCTGTCACGTCGGATCGTGGCATGGCAGGTGAACTGGCTTTGCAGTTGGATCTTTGCAAGGCTTGGTCCCCAAGGTCTAGGGGAGAAGAAGGAACCCCCCGACCAGGACTGTGAGGACCTGCTGGGGAAGGTGGAGGGCCAGCACCGGTGGGTCCTTCCCCGTGGGCGGAGGGACACGCGTGGACAAGCACTGTTCACAGGAGTTTTGAATAGTAACACCATCACTAGTTGCATATTTCCATTTTAAAATTGTTTTTTAAAAAATATATATTTTATTGATTTTTCACAGAGAGGAAGGGAGAAGGATAGAAAGCTAGAAACATCGATGAGAGAGAAACATCGACCAGCTGCCTCCTGCACGCCCCCCACCGGGGATGTGCCCACAACCAATGTACATGCCCTTGACCGGAATCGAACCTGGGACCTGCTGTGTGGGGGGTGGGGGGCGGGGGGAGGTGGGGGGCGGGGATCTGCTGTGTGGGGGCGAGGGGCGGGGGGGTATGAGGGAGTGGGGGGGTAGGGGGGTGGGGGGTTGGGAAGGCGGGTGGGATGGGGAAGGGGAGGCTGGTTCTGGGAGATGGGGATGGAGAGTGGGAGACACTGGGGGACGGGGGCGGGGGGGTGAGGGTGCGGGATAGGGGATGGGGGGATGTGGGGTGCGGGTTGGGGGTGCGGGGGTGCGGGGTGAGGGGATGCTGGGTGGAGGTGCGGGGGGTGCGGGGTGGGGGTGGGGGTTGGGTGCGGGGGGCGGGGGGGGCGGGGTTGGGCTGCAGGGTGGGGGGATGGGGGTTGGGGGCGGGGTGCGGGGTGGGGGATGGGGGTTGGGGGGGCGGGGGGTGAGGGGATGGGGGGTGGAGGGCGGGGGGCGGGGGATGAGTCGGTGCGGGGTGGGGGGATAGGGGTTGGGGGTTGGGGGGGTGCGGGGTGGGGTGCGGGGGGGTGCGGGGTGGGGGTGTGGGGGGTGGGGGTGCGGGGTGCGGGGGGTGAGGGGATGCTGGGTGGAGGTGCGGGGGTGCGGGGTGGGGGGATGGGGGTTGGGTGCGGGGTGCGGGGGTGCGGGGTGCGGGGTGCGGGGTGGGGGCGGGGTGCGGGGTGCGGGGTGGAGGCGGGGGCGGGGATCCGCTGTGTGGCGGCGGGGAGGGCGGGGCTGACTGCAGACGGCGCCCTGCGTCCCGCGTCCCTCCGCCCGGAGCAGCGCCTCCCGCTCCCGCCTCCGCTCCGGTCCGTCCGCCTCCAGGTGCGCGTCTGGGGGTCTGGGGGTCCGGGGGTCCGCGCTGGGCTCAGCCGGCGGGAGGCGCGGGAATGTGGGTTTTGGGGAGCCCTAGGCCCGTGGTGGTGGGGCGCAGAGGCCCGTGCGGGGCGGAGGAGGAGGCGCGGCGGGCGGGGAGGGCCGGGCGGGTCCCCTCCGCGGGCGGTGGGTGCGGGGCCACGGGCTGAGGACGCCCCGGTTCCCCATCCTCCCAGCCCCTCCGCCGGGCGGGGTTCCCGTTTCCTTTGGGGCCAGGCCTCCGCCCCCCACCTCCAGCGGCCCCGGGCGTCTCCCTGCTCACACTGTGCTCAGAGAGGGCGGGTGGGCGCCAGGGGACCCCCCGCCGTCCCCGACACGGAGGTTCTCCCCGCCCAGAGGCCCCGGGTGTGCGGAGGCCGGCTTCGCGGCTGTCGCACCCCTGACGCAGCCCATCAGGGCGCACGCAGAGCCCAGGGCCTCGGAGCCCCGGCGCAGCGGCCTGGGCTCTGGCCCCGCGATGCTGACTCCGCATGAGCGTCAGATGCTCATTCATTCACTCATTTTGTTTATTTTTAATGCTCACCGAGGGCATTTCCAGTTGGTTTTTAGAGCGAATGGAAGGGAGAGGGACAGATAGAATCACATCCACTGGTTGCCTCCTGCACACGCCCAACCAGGGCCCAGAACCTGCAACTCCAACTCCTTGGCTGGACCGAACCGAACCCAGACCCTTCAGTCTGAGGCTCATGCTCTGTCCCTCCCTTTTTCTCCCAAGGACAGGCCGGGGCCAAAGGCTGTCCCTGGGGGGATTCTCCAGTGCTGAGTGGGCTGTTGGGAGGGCTCCCCGGGGTGCTGAGTGGTCTGGGGGGCTCCCCGGGGTGCTGAGTGGGCTGTTGGGAGGGCTCCCCAGGGTGCTGAGTGGCCTGGGGGGGCTCCCCGGGGTGCTGAGTGGCCTGGGGGGGCTCCCCGGGGTGCTGAGTGGCCTGGGGGGGCTCTCCAGGTTGCTGAGTGGCCTGGGGGGGGGCTCCCGGGGTGCTGAGTGGCCTGGGGGGTTCCACGGGGTGCTGAGTGGCCTGGGAGGGCTCCCGGGGTGCTGAGTGGCCTGGGAGGGCTCCCGGGGTGCTGAGTGGCCTGGGGGCTCCCCGGGGTGCTGAGTGGGCTGTTGGGGGGGCTCCCCAGGTGCTGAGTGGCCTGGGGGGAGCTTCCCGGGGTGCTGAGTGGGCTGTTGGGGGGGCTCCACAGGTGCTGAGTGGCCTGGGGGCTCCCGGGGTGCTGAGTGGCCTGGGGGGCTCCCCGGGGTGCTGAGTGGCCTGGGGGGGGCTCCACAGGGTGCTGAGTGGCCTGGGGGGCTCCACAGGGTGCTGATGGCCTGGGGGGCTCCACAGGGTGCTGAGTGGCCTGTCTCCCACAGGACAGGACCGGGCGCCATGGCCTCGCCGCCCGAGGAGGACGAGGGGCTGCGGGGCTGCGAGCGGTATGTGCAGCGGCACGGCCTGCAGCAGGCGCTGCGGGACTGCGTGGTGCGCCTGTGTGTGGCCCGGCCCGACCGGCCCCTGCGCTTCCTGCGTGAGCACTTCGAGGCGCTGGAGGAGGTCAGTGGTGGGGGCCGCCGGCTCGGCCCCTTCTCCCCTGTCCTTCAGGGGTGCCCACCCACGGGTCCCCGTGCCCATGGTCTCTGTCACCCACGGGTCCTCATCGCCCACGAGACCCCATCTGGGCTCTGCGGAGACAGAGGCCGCGGGCTCGCCCTGCAGCTGCCCGCCAGAGCCCCTCCCTCCCGGTTCAGAGGCTCACGGCCGGTCCCCCTGAAGGGCCAGGTGGGGGGCCGGGATGGATGCCACGGGCACCTGGGAGAGGGAATGGCTCTGAGGGGTGTGGTGTGGGCGGCTGTCAGAGCTCAGACTCCCATTCATCTGCCCCCTCGGGTGGCAGTGCCCTCAGATGTGTGCGGGGTGGGGTGGGGAGACCCCTGCTGGGTCCACCCCCAGGACAGGCCAGGGAGCAGGGGACTCGGCCTTGTCCACTCGGCCTGCATCCCTGACCTGCCCCTAAGCTCTCTGGTGCCGCCCAGGGTTCCTCATGGCCCGTTCGTCACTCTGAGCTGTGCCTGTGCCTGTGCCTGTCCCTGTGCCTGTCCCTGTGCCTGTCCCTGTCCCGTTCCTGTCCCTGTCCCTGTCCCTGTCCCTGTCCCATCCCCGTCCCCGTCCCATCCCGTCCCATCCCGTCCCTGTCCCTGTCCCTGTCCCGTCCCTGTCCCCGTCCCCGTCCCATCCCGTCCCATCCCGTCCCTGTCCCTGTCCCTGTCCCGTCCCTGTCCCCGTCCCTGTCCCTGTCCCCGTCCCGTCCCCGTCCCTGTCCCCATCCCTGTCCCGTCCCTGTCCAGTCTCTGTTCCTGTTCTGTCCCAGGGGCCTGAGTGGGCCAGGTCAGGCTCAATCTGTTCAGCACCCGATCCCTGCGGCTTCCCCTTGGGCAGGGTCTCGCAGCCACAGAGCCCGGACCAGGGAAATAAAATGAATGAATGAATAAATACGCCACCATTTATTCCTTCCCTTTGAAGCCATCAGTCAAAAGACATTCTATTTATTTTAAAAATATTTTTATTGCTCTCAGAGAGGAAGGGAGAGGGAGAGAGAAACAGTGATGAGAGAGAAGCAGCCCACAACCTGACCTCCCAGGCGCTTCCTCCACATGTGCCCTTTGACCGGGTCTCGAACCCGGGACCCTTCCGTCCACAGGACGACTCTCCATCCACTGAGCCAGAGGAGCTGGGGCTTAAAAGACATCTTAGAGCAGTGACGCCTTTTAAAGGAAACGGGTGAGCGGAGAGAGAGACATGAATTGGTCGGCTCTCCTCTCACTGCGATCCTGTCGTGGACGCCCTCGTGTTCCGTGTGATGGGTGTGTCCCACGCTGCCAGCCCGGGTGAGGGGTGAGCAGTCCGCGGAGGTTCTCCGACCTTCCCCTCGTGGCTGGAGTGGTGGTTTCTGGTTTTTCAGATGAAAAGTAACGCCACCCTAATGGGTGCACACATCTTTTCCATGTACTTTTGTGGGTTCCGAGTGGCTTCTCAGCAGTGAAATTCCTGGCGTTCCCACTGCGGTCTCTGGTAGGGGGCCCGTCGGAGCTGCCGACATGATTTTTAGAGAGAATGGGAGAGAGAGGGAAAGAGAGAGAGAAACATGGATGTGAGAGAAACACGTCGGTGGGGATTGTCTCCTGCACACGCCCTAACTAGGCCCAGGCTGGGGAGGCGCCTGCAACCAAGCTATGTGCTCTTCCCTTGGAATTGAACCCGGGGCCTTTTGGTCTGCAGGCCGGTGCTCTAGCCACTGAACCACACCGGCCAGGGTGGCTGTTTTATTTTTATTTTTAAAATATATTTTATTGTTTTTTGTTTGTTTGTTTGTTTTTACAGAGAGGAAGGGAGAGGGATAGAGAGTTAAACATCGATCAGCTGCCTCCTGCACACCCCCCACTGGGGATGTGCCTGCAACCAAGGTACATGCCCTTGACCAGATTGAAGCTGGGACCCTTCAGTCCGCAGGCTGATGCTCTATCCACCGAGCCACACCGGTTAGGGCCAGGGTGGCTGTTTTAATTTAAGCACGTTTTCCAGCGAGGAGGTAGAAATGGCCACGGGCCCCAGTCCACTCCAGTTACTGCTGAGGGTACGTGCAGAGGAGACCCGTGTCAGCACGGGGCAGAGGACGGGCGGAGAGTCCCGCTCCCGCACGTTTGCCGTGGGAGACTCAGGCTGCAGTGCCCTTAACCTTCTCGAACCGTAATGTGTCTGGAACTGGAGCTACTCGGTCCATCCACGGGGGACCCCCGCCAGGCACTGGTCTCACAGGGTGTGACTTACTAGCTGCCCAGGCAGGAGCCTGTCGGGATGCAGAGGCCGGTCCAGGCAGGACTGAGCTGAGGACTCACCAGGGCGCACTTGGCATGCCAGGGACACGTTCGGTGGTTGGAGACGGATGGCTGGTTCCATGGGGTGGGTGTGGCTGTCTAAGGGAGGTGGGGACCGGAGGCGGAGCTATGGTCAGGGGGGCCTTGCTCTGGTGGGGATGCTCGGTCTTGCTGGCAGCCTGGGTGTGGGGTGAGGACAGAGGCCTGGGCACCACTCCTGGGGTTTGGCCCAGGCTCTCCGTAGATGGGGTGCCACTTGCTGAGCAGGGGTGAGGGGAAGAGGCAGGCTGGGCGGGAGGATGAGGAGGTCAGTTTTGGATGCGCGAGCCAGTCCTCAGGGAGACTGAGGACTTGGCGCTGGGGGAGAGCCCGGATGAGGCCGGAGGCTGAGGGAGCTGGTGGGTCCCTCTCGCCCTGGGAGCTGGGTCCGCGGCCGGGACAGGCCCAGACTGTGGAGGCCGGCGGCCCACGCAGCCCCGTGGGGCCTCGGGTCTGGTCTCGGCTCTGAGCCACGCATCCTGCTGTGCCCGAGGTCGCGCCTGAGTCCTTCGTTTCCAAGGCTTGGTCGCCGTGGCGACTGCATCAGTAACCAAGTCCCAGAAGCCGGGCCTGAAGCTGCGGGAGCAGGCTCAGCGCCGGGGCTGGTGTGGCAGGGGGTGCCGGAGGTGCACAGACCACGGCGGCCACGCGGGTGGGAGCGCGTGGGCCTCTGATTGCAGAGGAGCCGTCCGAGCCGCCGTGTGCCCGGGCGCCTCAGGCTGCTGTCTCTGTAGAGCTGCCAGGACAGGCCTCGGGCGATGGCGTGGATTCTCTGGAACGGGACGCGTGTGTTTGCTGGTGCATCTCGGGTCCTCAGTCCTGGCTCGCAGGTCCCCGCCCCTCGGAGGGCCTCCCCGGCCGCTGGGCCGTGAGTGATAAGGCCAGGAAGCGGTCTTTCCTCCGGAGGCCGGCTCCCCAGGCCCGGCGGAAGCCCTGTCACCGGCAGGAAGGGCAGGAGGCTGTGAGCCGGAGGCTGGCGGGCGTGGCGGGTGGCCCAGACCAGGATGGCCCAGCTCTCGGGGCGCTGCCCGGGCGGGCCCCGCGTGGCAGCCGGTGCCCCGGCCTCGGTGAGTGCGGCGGCGTCTCGGGCCGGGGATTCTGGGAGGAGACCGGAGGGGTAAGACGCTCCCTGTCCCCTGGCGGGTCCGAGGGCTCGGCCTTCCCGGAGGGGTGTGAGGGCAGCCCTGCTGCAGTGCGTGCACCGAGAAGACGCCCCACAGACACACCCCGCGGCCTCCCGCCCGTGGCCGCCGCCGCAGCGCGTGGCCGTGGGGCGAGGGCAGGTGCTCCTGGCTGCGTTTTCTCAGGCCCGTGGGGCCGGCAGCCTCTCCATTCCCCCCTCCGCCTCGGCGAGCGTCCGCCCACGCCGTCTGCCCGGTCCGTCAGGGCGTGCTCTTGCTGTGGAGCGTGACGGCTCTCTGCATCTCAGACGTGTGCCCTTACATACGTGGCTGCGTGTCCTCGTCAGGCAGGCGGCTGCGGGTGCCTCTTTGCGTCCTTGGCTCCTCTCTGTGGCATCTTTCACCGGCGAACGTTTGTGCTTTGAGGCCCAGTTGGCCGGCTTTTAAATGGCCTGCGCTTCCCGTTTCAGGTCGTGTCTCCGATTCTCCGAGGGGTTGGGTTCTGCTCCGGGCTCGCCTGCCAGGGATTCCCCCCACCTTGGTCTGGTGACTGGTCCTTAGGGAGCGTCGCAGGCCACATGCCTTCTAACTGTTCTTTTTCAAAATAGCTTCTTACTTTGTTTTCATTCACTTCAGTGAGACAAGGGAGAGGAGGAGAGAGACAGAAACGTCCATGATGAGAGAGAACCATGGATCGGCTGCCTCCTGCACAACCCCCACTGGGGATCGAACCTGAAACCCGGGCATGTGCCCTGGTTCCTGGTTGGAGCCCCGCCGGCGGGCTCACCATTGTCTGTCTCCTGTAGCCTCTGTGCCTTCCCAGTGGACGGGAGAGGATCCTGGTGACAGGGCCCGGAAGCCCTGTTGGCTTTGGCTGGCGTTCCGTTGAAACGTGTAGGAGTCCGTGTGGGGCGAGCAGACAGCTTAACAACACGGAACCGTCCAGCCCATGAACCCAGAACATCTCTCCGTCTCCCGGAGTCTGATCTCTTTCGTGAACGGAAGAAAACACGTGTGGTTTTCAAGTTATAGTCCCTTATGGATGTCGTTAATTTACACCTGTTTTGTTTTTAGAGTTTTCAGTTGCAGTTTGCATTCAGCATTATTTTGTGTTTGTCTCAGCGCAGTGGTTAGAGAGTCACATCCCCCGACCACTCGCAGCGCCCCCAGCCCCACACGTCGGAGACAATGCTATTGGCTTCGTTCCCTACGCTGTGCTCTGTCTCATTCTTTATCCTAAGTGGTACTTCAAAAAATTTTTTTAATATATCTTTATTGATTTCAGAGAGGAAGGAAGAGGGGAAAGAGAGAGAGAAACATCCATGATGAGAGAGAATCATTGATTGGCCGCCTCTTGCATGTCCCCCAATGGGGATCAAGCCCGGAATCGAATGTGGGACCCTTCAGTCTGCAGGCTGGTGCTCTATCCACTGAGCCACACCAGCCAGAGCATAAGTGGCACTTCTTGAAAAATACCCATTTTTATTGATTTCAGAGAGGAAGGAAGAGGGGGAGAGAGAAG